CCCCCCCCCCAAATCGAAATCCTGGCTACGGGCCTGGTAATGACAACGAGATCCAGCAGTTAATTGACAAGAAAATGAAAGTCTTCCAAACATGGCAGAGAGACACCAGCTGCGCTGCCAAGGAAAAGATCTATACTAGTGCAAAAGCTGAAGTCCAAAGAAGAACCAGAGAACTCAAGAACATCTGGTGGACAAAGAAGGCCAAAGAAATCCAACACCTGGCAGATACCTATGATGCTCAGGGATTTTTAAAGCCACAAAGGTCATCTACAGAAATCATGGCATACAGCCTCTACGCTCATCAGATGGAACCAAACTTCTGAAGGACAAAAAATCAATTGGACTACGTTGGAAAGAGCACTACCACAACCTCCTGAATCACAGCTCCAACATGGTCGAAGAGGTTCTCTCACAAATCCTATAACAACAAACCAGGGATGAGCTTGCAGCACTGCCCAGTTTGGAGAAAGTCAGCAACGCCATCAGCCAACAAAAAAAACAAAAACAAAAAAAAAACAAAGCCAGTGGACCTGATGGGATCCCTGCTGAAATCTTTAAAGAGGATGGACCTGAGCTGACACAACAACTCTACCAGCTCATTGAAAAAGTGTGGGTAACCAAGAAAATCCCAAAAGACTTCAAGGATGCCACCATCATCACCTTTTTTTTTTTAAGGGAAAGAACAGACTGCAGAAACTCTCTTCTAACCTCCGCTGGGAAAATCCTCACAAGAGTCCTTGAAAATCACCTTCTACCCCTCTCAAAAGACATCCTGCTAGAATCCCAGAATTGCTTCCGGCCCTCCAAAGGAACAGTGGACATGATCTTCTCTGCGCGACAGCTCCAAGAAAAATGCAGGGAACAAAATCAATCTCTGTACATGGCATTCATTGACCTTGTAAAGGCATTTGACACATTAACTCACAGTGCTGTCTGGACCATCCTCCAAAAAATCAGATGCCCTGACAACTTTGTGAACACCCTGTGGCTCCTCCACGATAACATGATGGCAACAGACTTGGACAGCAATGGCTCCCAAAGTGACCCATTGAAGGTGGAATCAGTTGTCAAAAAGGGATGTGTTATTGCCCCAAGCTTATTTTCCATTTTCATCACTACGATACTTCATCTTGTTGATGGGAAGCTTCCCACTGGAATTGAAGTCATCTATCGGACGGATACTCATACTCGGACAATGAGGGATCGCCTAAGTAAGTAAGCATGATATGGTACTGCAGATCCAGCCTGACTCTGAAGGAACTAGATGAGATCCTGAAGTGTAAAGATATATTATTAAATACTAACTTTAGGATAATCTGTGCTATCACATTCCCCATTTCTATATGGTTGTGAAAACTAGAGAGTGAAAAAAATCGGATAGGAAGAAAAATCGGTTCCTTTAGAATGTGTTGCAGAAGAGGAAGTCTGCAGGTTCCATGAACTGCTAAAAAGACAAATAAATAGGTCTGAACTCAACCTAGAAGCTAGGATGACTAAACTGAGGTTATCATACTTCAATCATTATCACAAAATGAGATGACTCATTTAAAAAGGCAATAATGCATGGTGAAGTGGAAGGCAGTAAGAAAAGAAGACAGCGTTCCCAATGGATAGACACAGTCAGAGAAGCAATGGGCCCTGTGCAGAGCTGTTGATGACAAGGTGACTTTGACATCTCTTATTCATAGTTGACATTTTTTCTCATGAGAATTTATGTCAAAGAATTGCGCGTAGGTTTGGTTTCTAAACAGATTGAATTTGAAACACTTTGGAATATGTCAAATAAGAGCTGCAGTGGCACAATGGGTTAATATATTGTACACACATATAATATTGATAATAATGTTATATTGTAATATAATATAATGCTACTACTAATAATAATAATATGATACAATAATTATATATTTCATATTACATGCAATTTTACTAATAATATTGCAGTATAGTGGTATAGTACAATACGGGGATGTATGGTACAAATATTGTGCTATGTTAATAATATAATATATTGTATTTATATATAACTTGTAAGCCACTCTTCGGGGTGAGAAGAGTGACATATAAATGTCATAAATAAATAAATAAATAAATAAATCCTTTTGCTGGCTAAAGACTTGAAGGTCAGCAGTTTGAATCCGTGAGATGTGGTGAGCTCCCATCTGTCAGCCCCAGCTTCCCATGCCAGGAATGAGAGAAGCCTCCCACAGGATGGTAACACATCCGGGTATTCTCTGGGCAATGTCCTTGCAGATGGGCAATTCTCTCATACCAGAAGCTGCTTGCAGTATATTCTCAAGTTACTTCTGACACAATGAAAATAATCTGGAAGTTATTAGATGCAACTTGCTTTGGGAATAAATCAAAGTTGACTTGAAGGTCATAGACAACAAGAAGTAGCCAAGGTTTCAGGCATCCACTGAAAGGTTTAGAACTTATTCTCTGACAATAAGTATCTTCCAGCGAAGGATGGTGGCATCTGCCATTGGAGGGACAAAGCTCCTCTGGGTTGAAGTTGAAGCTTCTCAGGAACTGTCCAAAGAGCTGGCTATTGTTAGGCCATATGGTTCATCACCTTTGTCATCTCCTTTAAAAAATGGCCTGAAATCTTGACTAAATTTACCACCACATTGGCACTCCAGCTACCATGTATCTTCTGTTATGCTCACCATCCAAAACTCCTGTTTTATAAACGAAAGACCACCTTCAGTGCTAAGGTTCTATGGTACAATTCATAGAATCATTGAGTTGGAAGATATCTCGTGGGCCATTATGTTCAACCCCCTGCCAAGAAGCAGAACAATCACGTTCAAATCACCCCAACAGATGGCTATCCAGCCTCTGTTTAAAAGCCTCCATAGAAGGAGTCTCCACCACACTTCAGGGTAGAGAGTTCCACTGCTGAACAGCTCTCACAATCAGAAAGTTTTTCCTAATGTTCAGGTGGAATCTCCTTTCTTGTAGCTTGAAGCCATTGTTCTGCGTCCTAGTCTCCAGGGAAGCAGAAAACAAACTTGCTCCCTCCTCCCTATGACATCCCCTCACATATTTATACATGGCTATCATGTCTCCTCTCAGCCTTCTCTTCTTCAGGCTAAACATGCCCAGCTATTTAAGCCACTCCTCATAGGGCTTGTTCTCCAGACCCTTGATCATTTTAGTCACCATCCTCTGGACACATTCCAGCTTGTCAATATCTCTCTTCAGTTGTGGTGCCCAGAATTGGACACAATATTCCAGGTGTGGTCTAACCAAAGCACAATAGAGGGTAGCATGACTTCCCTGGATCTAGACACTAGACTCCTATTGATTCTCTTCACACATGGATCCAATTTGCTCACCTTGCATTGTCCATGTTGCGTCCCTTGTAAGCACAGAGGATGACGGTCCAAAAACAGGCAAAACCTACCAAGAAAAACAAGAAGCCAACTTTGCAATAATATTTGATGGTGATGCTCCTCAGATAGAGAAACGGGAAACCCAACAAGGAGAGGAGGAGAAGGAGGCCTTCCATCTGTGACACTTCCATCATGTCGATCTATTACTGCAGATGAACTTATTAGGAAATGGACTGAGAGCTAGACCATCTAGAAATGCTTAACAGCATATAATCTTGTGTAGGTGACTACAATTTATACTGATGGCATGGGGTGTTAACTCAATTATGAATATGCAGATTTGTTGTAATGATGATCACAATGTCTCTCCTTAAATGATTTATGTACCTGAAATAAGTTTGTGCTTTTGCTACTAGAACAGTAGAGAACTCGGAAGTTGTGTTACATAGAGTCTTTGTCCATCCAACTTGAATTTTGGATTACCCATAATTTGAATTCTATCCAGGAATCTGAAAATCGGTTATACATCCTCGGATAATGAGCCATTTGCCAGCTTTTATTATTATTACCCTACTTTAATTCATCAAAAAGCTTTATTTTTACAACATTATATGGATTTTTACTGTGGAATTGTATTATTTATGATGCCAGACTGACTTATTTATATGCTTTTATATGTATATGTTTTTAGCTGTTTAATTTCATTCTAATTATATGTTTTAATTGTATGTTTTCAATGTTTGGACTTTCATACTGTGCACAGCATTGAATGTTAGCCGCTTTTGTTTATGGAAGCTACCCTGATTCCCTTCGAGGAGAGAGGGTGGGTTAAAAATAAAGTGATGATGATGATGATGATTATTATTATTATTACTATTATTATTATTTTCTCAGAATTAAGACCCAATTAGTGTCATTTTTGTAATTGTGTACTATTGAGATTTGTCTATGAGGATATTGTTCAGAATGTTTTGTCAATATGTTTGCAATTACTCCCAGAAGCATCTATAACCATTAGTTGTTTTCTTTTTCCAAACATTGTGAACCAATTTTCAGACATTATTATTTGATACACAACGAAATTAGTGCACAGCAAACAAGATCACTATGCTGGCTTTTGTATTTGATCACACGTCGGATACTTCCCAAGTGTCTAGGACTGTGTGATGTATCAGCGAATAATGCATGCAGATTCCAGTAAGATGGCCTTTTGCAGATGGCAGATGGTAATCTTGTCAGTACCGATTGTGTTTAAGTGCAGGCCAAGGTCTTTAGGCACTGCACCCAGTGTGCCGATCACCACTGGGACCACCTTGACTGGCTTGTGCCAGAGTCTTTCCAGTTCGATCTTTAAATCCTCATATCGTGTCAGCTTTTCCAGTTGTTTCTCTTCAATCCTGCTGTCACCTGGGATTGCGACATCAACAATCTATACCTTGTTTTTAAACACAATCGTAAGGTCAGGAGTATCATGCTCCAAAACTCTGTTTATTGTTGTTGTTGTTGTTAAAGCCCCCTTTTAAACAACAGTCCTGTAGAAGGAAACTTCCAGCATCCGGCTGTTGGAAATGCATCAACACTTACCACTTAAGACTGAAGAGTGCCTCATAGCAGGTAGCAATAATAGGATTAGATAATTTGAGTGACCTGAGGAGTCTTCGCTCTTTTGTCCGCCTATCCTGATCTCTGTGATGCAAACTGATACTCCGAGGGATTGCTTTTCTCCATCGTTGTCCTTTCCTAAGAGTCATCTCTTGATCTTCCAAGATGTAGATAGATAAGCTTTCTGAGTAACTTTCCTATCTTAGAATGGAGTTCCTATACTAAAGTTTAGTTTCCTTTCTCCACTGCATCTTGGTCAATAACTGCACAGCCCTGAGGACTACAAGAGTTGGGTCCAGATCCTCCAATTGAGCCTATTTTCTCCCAGCCTGGGAAAGAGGTGCATCAATTCCCACCACATGGGGCAGTCCAGCTGGCAAAGCTGGCAAAAGATCATTGGTACATTTGAACATGATCGATTTCAAGTTCATACATGCTGTTGCGTGCCTTCAAGTCATTTCCAACCTATGGTGACCCCAGTGTTTTCTGCTACTAGAAAAAGGTTTGCTAGCAGAATGCGACTCCTGAAACATGGTGAATGTGATTATAGTTGTTTATGAAAGGTGTGCTTTTGGCAGGAAATTTTATTTCATTAGAGTTTGTCAGCCGGCTCATGTAAGGCTTTGCATTATATTAAGAAACTAGCCTGAGGACCTGGCGCTGCCTGGGTTATTTGAGAAAGACATTGTTTGTCTGTGCTCCAAGTTTAGTCTAGATCCAATATATAGATGTGCTTGATATATTTATGTCTTTGTTTGTTTGATACCTGTAAACCAGGGCGGTATGACCTTTTGATCAAGATTTGCATTCCTGGGCTGTAATTGCATGAAATGGTGTCATCCAAAGGGCTTTGTAAATGTGGCTGTCAAGGATGGTCACGTGTTTTGCACACGGAGAATGAGCACCGCTCAAATATTTTGGACATAACAAAATGTAACAAAATTTGAAAAACGTTGTGTTCTTGGTTTGAAAGTGTTATTTCCTATTTAATCGTGCAGTACTTACTTTGACAGTAGTTGTTATACTGCAGAAACTTTGTTTTTGTGGCTGCCACAAACTATGATGAATTGGCTGAGACTTTATGAGATAGTCATTGAAAAACTATAGCAAAATGTGCTGAAGGAATTTTTTTTCCGCCTATGTGTATCCCGTCCTTCACACCCCTAAAAGGGAACTCAGAGCAGATTCACAACAGGCATTTGTTTGATGCCAATAACAGTAATAAATAATAATAGCAATTAAAACAATTCATTAAGGCATTAAATTGCTAAAATATTTGTTTAAAATCATGCAGGTTTACAATCAGTCCATTGTAATGCACACAAATTGGGGTCTCATTCTTGATAGCTGTCTCTACTGTTTGAACGGTTGGTCCCATAACCAGGTTTTGAGTTTCTTTCTAAAGGATAGGAGGGAGCCAATCTGATATCACTGGGAAGAGAGTTCCACAGGCAAGAGGCCACCACTGAGAAGGCCCTGTCTCCCATCTCCACCAGTTGCGCTTGTGAGGATTGTGGGAATGAGAGAAGGGCCTCTCCCGTCGATCTTAGACTTTGTGATGGTTCATAGAGGGAGATACGTTCAGACAAGTAAGCTGGGCCGGAACCATTCAGGGCTTTATAGGCTAAGGCCAGCACTTTGAATTGTGCTTGGTTGCAGATTGGCAGCCAGTGGAGCTGGCATAGCAGAGGTTGTATGCTCTCTGTATGTCACTTCAGTGAGCAACCTGGACTAGTTGGAGTTTCCAAACAGTCTTCAAAGGCAACCCCATGTAGAGTGTGTTACAGCAATCTATTCAGGATGCAACAAGAGCATGGACCACTGTGGCCAAGTCTGACTTCCCAAGGTACAGGCGCAACTGGTGCACAAGTTTTAATTGTGCGAATGCTCCTCTGGCCACCACTGAAACCTGGGGTTCCAGGCTCAACAATGAGTCTAAGATCACTCCCAAGCTGAAAACCTGTGTCTTCAGGGGGAGTGTAACCCCTAAGGATGTTGTGCAAAAACCACAGTATTGCAGCTTAATAAGCTTTTTCCATGTTTTTATGATCAAATTAATTAGGAAATGACATTTGCAACCCAGGAACAAAAATTGTATTACATAGTGTAATTTGGAGAAGTGGCATTGCACACACTAAGATTTCAGGAAAATGTGGATGCTTTGAGTCCCAATTTTGAGGGAAAACTGGTTATAAATAAATAAAGATCATGATAGCAATAATAATACTTCATTTCTTCCATTGCAAAATACACTTTTTCTTATATAAACATCTCTAAAAATGGGACGCATCTTAGAATTTGAGGTGTATTTTTGTTAGTGCCGGTGGTACTAACATTAGGGTGCATCTTACAATCACTGGCATCTTACAATTGAAGAAATATGGTAGTAATCATCATCTTTACCGTGACCCATTTGATTGATGATATTAGTGATTGCCACACAGTCATTGTTATTTCTATTAATCACTAGCATTAGCAGGGCATTCCTACAAAGCTACAAGGCAAGTTGAGCCACAAACTCCACTTGTGCTTAACCTACACACTTGAGAATAGCCACAAATATTACAAAACTTCTATCTTACAAAATATCAGTGGCCTCCTTCTGAATGCAGATCAATCCGTGGCAAAACTTAGTCATGGCTTTAAAATAAAAACAGTGCGAACATAGGTCACTTAAATACATTATCATTCATCTGCCCACGTGGCTGTGCCCACTCCTGTGTAAAGATCAAGTGACAACAATCCAAGCTGTCTGCTACCTGAAGCAAAAGGAAATGTCTTGTCACCACCAACTACCATAACATATACCTTGCTCTTTCTTCAGCCCTCTCCACTTGCGACATTTATCCATCCACCTTCCAGCCTTTCATTGTCTCCTTCTTTCATTGGATTATTAACTTATTTAATTTATTTACAGTATTTATATACCGCTTTTCTCACCCTTGGGAGGACTCAAAGCAGGTTACAAAAATCATGGCAAAATTCATTGCCTTATATACATAAACCAAATCATAAATCCAATAACATATGACTAAGCATACAATACAATAGGACAAATTCTCGTAAGATAATAGGACATTTAAACATGAAGTATAAAAATTAAAAACACCTAATAAAAAACATTTAAATCACATGATCCAAACTCGTAGAGGGGGCCCCAGTGGCACAGTGGGTTAAACCACTGAGCTGATGAGCTTGTTGACTGAAAGGTCGCAGGTTCGAATGTGGGGAGCGGCATGAGCTTCCGCTGTCAGCCCCAGCTTCTGCCAAGTGAACCAATAGGTAATGCTCTGGTGGGAAGGTAACGGTGCTCCATGCAGTCATGCCAGCCACATGACCTTGGAGGTGTCTACGGACAACGCCGGCTATTCGGCTCAGAAATGGAGATGAGCACTGATCCACAGAGTCGGACACAGCTGGACTTAATGACAGAGGACAACCTTTACAATTTACTAAACTCATAGACTGGGCCATTTCAGATTTTGATTACACATAGTACATATTTTCTTCTTGTACTGCATTACAGGTCAAAAGCTTGGTTCCATAATCACGTCTTTGTTCTCTTTCTAAATGCCTGGAGGGAGGGCACTGATCTAATCTCACTGGGGAGAGTTCCAGAGTCAGGGAGCCACCACTGAGAAGGCTCCCTGACTTCTCATCCCCACCAACTGCACTTGCAAAACAGGAAGGGCTGAGAACAGGGCCTCCAATGAAGATCTCAACCTCCATGATGGTTCATAGAGGGAGATACATTCGGACATGTAAGAAGGCCTGGAACTGTTTAGGGCTTTGTAGGCTAAAGCCAACACTTTGAATTGTGCTCGGTAGCAGACTGGCAGCCAGTGGAGCTGGAGTAACAGAGGAATTGTGTGCTCCCTGGATGCCACTCCAGTGAGAAACCTCTTTCCTCTGCCACACCTTCTTTGCTTGCCTCCTTCCCTTCCCCTTTTCACGCCTGCCTTGCCCTTGCAGTTGCAGATGCCTGCAGCACTAAACATAGAAAGCACCATTCACAGAGATTGCTGGACCCCAATACTTGGTATCTCTATCCAACTGATAGGGAAAGTTGTTTGTTGTAGTTCTCAGTTGTTGTTATTTTTTTTTAAACGTCTAATCTGGAGGACCAGCATACCATCCATCTGTCCCAATTCGGCAGGGACAGGCTTCAACTACAATGCCATATAATCTAGTTTTTGAATCCAGATTATTTGCTTTGGACTGGAATATATGGCAGTATAAATTTATATAATCCAGCTCAAAACAGATTTATAGAGACTGTAGCTGGATCTACACTGCTATATAATCCCGTTTATGAATCCAGATTATCTGTTTCAGTTGTTGTAAACTCAGGACCCTTATACACGGCCATACAATGCAGATTACACTGTTCTACAAATTTTCAGTTTTTCTCAGTTGCGAAAACGAAATTGTTTTAATCTAAGCAATGTTACAGTTGTTCCAGGCTATTTTGTGACAATTCCTAGCAGCAGTTGGATAATATTACTGCTATTCTTAAATGTCTTCATTCCAAGTCATGTTGGGAAAAAAGTATCCTTCCTCCCTTCTTGATCTCTTATGGTGCCTTTTTTAAGAATGGCAGTGTAGAAGGGGCCTAATAAACTGTTTCATGAGGCATCATGCTTCCTTAGAGCAATCTGGGGGCCCTTCTACACTGCCATATAAACTGGATTATCAAGGTAGATAATCTACATTATCTGCTTTGAACTAGATTATATGAACCTACACTGTCATATTAACCAGTTCAAAGCAGATAATCTGGTTGTTCTATGGCAGTGTAGATGAGGTTTTAGAGAAGAGTCTCAGGGTGTTTCCTGGGACTCTCTTTTACAGCAGTGTTTTTTAAAATGTCTAATTTGGAGGACCAGCATACCATCCATCTGTTCCAATTCGGCAGGGACAGGCTCCAACTACAATGCCGTATAATCTAGTTTTTGAATCCAGATTATTTGCTTTGGACTGGAATATATGGCAGTGTAAATTTATATAATCCAGCTCAAAACAGATTTATAGAGACTGTAGCTGGATCTACACTGCTATATAATCCCGTTTATGAATCCAAATTATCTGTAAACTCAAGACCCTTATACACGGCCATATAATGCAGATTATCAAAGCAGATAACCTTTTAAAAATCATTCTTAACTTTATGTCTAATCAACTTAGAGATAACACATTTTACGTCACCTTTCTGAAAAAAAGCAGCCAGACTTTAAACAAAAACAACAGCAACATTTATTTTGTTTGAACAAAATGTACAAAGGTGCTCAAAGCAATGTTTCACATGACATGAGCCTGGGAATATTCCTCACTGCCAAGCCTCTGAGGGAAGGAAAGCGCTTCTCTTGTCCCTCGCAAGGCCATTCATCAGGACTGCTACTACTTCTTACCGGACTTCTTTATCCCGCCTCCACCTGAAAGAGGAGAGAGACAAAGATCAGCTGAGGTTAAGGTTGAGCATTAATGTGTGATATGGGAGTCAAAATCTAGGGAGTGTGGACCAATAGAATGAAGCCTCAGTGCATTCTGGGGTGGGGGTGTGTGAAACTGGCCCTTGAACCCATCAAATCAGCCCTTTTACCTCTTCATCCTTTGGGCATTATTAAAGCCAGTATGGTATAGTGCAGGGGTCCTCAAACTAAGACCCAGGGGCCGGATGCAGCCCTCCAAGGTCATTTACCCGGCCCTCACTCAGGGTCAACCTAAGTCTGAAATGACTTGAAAGCACACAACAATAACAACAGTCCTATCCTATCAGCCAAAAGCAGGCCCACACTTCCCACTGAAATACTAATAAGTTTATATTTGTTAAAATTGTTCTTCATTTTAATTATTGTATTGTTTTAAGTGTTTTTTGCACTACAAATATGATATGTGCAGTGTGAATAGGAATTCATTCATTATTTTTCAAATTATAATCCGGCCCTCCAATAGTTTGAGGAACTGTGACCTGGCCCTCTGTTAAAAAAAGTTTGAGGACCCCTGGTATAGTGGATTCTAAGAAACCAGCATTCAAATTCTGGATCGGCCATAATTTGGTGCCCGTTAAATTGGATTTATTTATCGTATCAGGAGCAACCAGACAGTTGTATTATGTAATACAACTAAATTAGATAAGTCATATTCCTTCTCTAAGGAAGGTTGTGCCAAACACCCTCCGAAAAAGTTCTGCCCCAAAATGCCATGATATGGCAACTCTATGTAAGAAGCAATTTGAAAGCACACAGCAACAGCAAATGGCTTGGGTTCAGCAGGTATGAGACCCTCCAACAATGCATCCAGCATGAAAATGTAGGGTCCCTAAAACATATACCGTATATTCCGGGGTATAAAACGACGGGGGCTATAAGACGACCCCCCAATTTCAGCAGTCAAAATATAGTATTGGGGATATATTCCTGGGCAGGTCTCGCGAGAAGCGCCTCTTCTCCCGCGAGACACCATTGTCTCGCGGGAGAAGAGGCACTTCTCGCGAGGCCTGGCCAGGAAATGAGAATGGCCTGACTAGCGTGGCAGCCAGGAAGAGACGAGCGACAGGGAGCCTGACCAGGAGGCTGCCATGTGCCAAGGCAGCGGCGGAGGAGGAGGAGGAGGAGGAGGGGAGGGGAGCCCGTGGCCAAGGCATCCACCCCAAAAGGCTCTACTGGTACTTTTTTATTATTTTATTTTTATACCCGGGGTACTAGACGACCCCCAAAATTTTATAAGGATTTATATGCCTAAAAGGTCGTCTAGTACCCCGTTTTTTACGGTACCTTTTTACAAACCTAGAAGTTGAGTATCCCTTATCTAGAAATCTGAAATACTCCAAAATCTAAAACTGTCCGCAAGGGTGGCTGATATAGAGATCCAATGTACACAAACTACGTTTCATAAACAAAAATATTTTAAAATATTGTATATAACATCACCTTCAGGCTGTGAGTATAAAGTATATATAAAACATAAATGTAGTGTTTAGATGTGAGCCCCATCACCCAAGTTCCCCCCCCCTCTCTCTCTACCTATATCCTGCATGACAATGGGTTGGACTAGATGGCCCATGTGGCCTCTTCCAACTCTATTACTGTATATACTCGGGGATAAGCCGACCCGAAGATAAGCTGTGGCATCTAATTTTACCACAAAAAACTGGGAAAACATATTGACTCATTTCGAGGGTGGGAAATGCAGCTGCTATTGGTAAAATTCAAAATAAAAATAGATACCAATAAAATTACATTAACTGAAGCATCAGTAGATTAAATGCTTTTGAATATTTACATAAAACTGTAATTTAAGATAAGACTGTCAAACTCTGATTAAACCATTATTCTAATGTTCTTCAATATAAATGTGCTTGCGAATCTTTCCAATAAGAAAGAGAGTAAAATATAATAAAAATAATTATAATAGAGTAAAATTGTAAATGTAGTAGTAGTAGTAATAATAATAAATAGAAAAAATAAATGTAATAATAATAATAATAATAATAATAATAATAATAATAATAGAGTAAAATAATAAATAACCTTGACTCTAGTATAAGCTATAGGGGGCTTTTTCAGCCTAAAGAAAGGGCTGAAAAACTCGGTTTTCTATAATCTATTCAGCCATGCAAATATTCCAAAAGCATTTCAGATAAAGGATGCTCAACTTGTACCACTGGAAAACCAGTACAAATTGTGAAGTAAGGAGGGCTGAGAATTTAATTTGGTTTGTAATGGGTTTGTATGCGTCTTTGCAACATCAAAAAATTATTTTAAAACATGACCCAAAATGTGATTTTTCTAAAAAAAATCAGAATGTGAGAGAAAATGAAACTGACATAGAGTGGCCCATCCAACAGCACAAAACCTCGTTTTGTACTGCTCAATTAAGATTGCTCTCACAAACAAACTTTTCCTATTACTATGAATCAAACTATACACTGCCTTTTCAAAACCAAGCAGCAGTGGCTGGGTGAGAGTTAAATGGGGATTTTGAACAGGATATTAGGACAGGACCAAATCCAAAGTAAAAACATATTCCCAATCAGATGCACTCTTGAAATAGAACTAAGAAATAAATGCAACTTGTTAATCAATTCCTTAATTCAGCCCAAATGCCAAGCCCCAGTTTCTTATTCTAACCAACTTTCCACCCATTTCTTTGTTACACTCTTCACGGGATCAAGGCTACTTGTCATTGGTATGATATTTCAGAGGAAGTGACATACTGAGTGGGCCCTTCCCAGCTGCTTTTGCTTTCAACTCTTCCAGTTTCTTCTGTTCATCCTTCTGTTTTTGCTTGAAAGCAACATCTTCCTAAAGAGAAATTGGTAACAATAAGAGGAAATTTAGGACTACAAAACATACCTCAAGCATAAATTGAATGAATTAGAACTACCCCTCTATTCCGCTTTGGTTAGACCACACCTGGAATATTGTGTCCAATTCTGGGCACCACAATTCAAGAGAGATATGGACAAGCTGGAATGTGTCCAGAGGAGGGCGACTAAAATGATCAAGGGTCTGGAGAACAAGCCCTATGAGGAGCGGCTTAAGGAGCTGGGCATGTTTAGCCTGAAGAAGAGAAGGCTGAGAGGAGATATGATAGCCATGTATAAATATGTGAGAGGAAGCCACAGGGAGGAGGGAGCAAGCTTGTTTTTGCTGCTTCCTTGGAGACTAGGACGCGGAACAATGGCTTCAAACTACAAGAGAGGAGATTCCATCTGAACATGAGGAAGAACTTCCTGACTGTGAGAGCCGTTCAGCAGTGGAACTCTCTGCCCCAGGGTTTTAAACTTTTAAACAGAGGCTGGATGGCCATCTGGCAGGGGTGATTTGAATTCAATATTGCTGCTTCTTGGCAGAATGGGGTTGGACTGGATGGCCCATGAGGTCTCTTCCAACTCTTTGATTCTATGATTCTATGAAAATACACTGCAAGAATAAACTGGCAAATATCATAACTGAAACTGGTTGACCGATGATGCCCACATACATTTCACATGATGCCAGGACAGTCAATTCCATGATACTAACCTTAGTTTGCTTTGTTCACTGACAGCCCTATTCCTAAAATAACTGTCCTAAAGGTATGAAAAGTTAGCTTCAAAAGCCAACTGGAATCACCTATTACCAGTTCACTGTTATTTTCACCTTCCAATGAGCTTAACTGAATTGCTTTACTGTATATTGTATGAAACTGTGGAATCTACTACTATGTTCTTTTTCAATACAAGATGTGTTTGTTGCTAAACGAACATTAAGAGGAGTGGTCGTTCTCATGAAAGTTATGAAGATTTTTTTATGATTTAAGGTAAAAGTTTTCCCCTTATGTTAAGTCCAGTCCTGTCCGACTCTGGGGGTTGGTGCTCATCTCCATTTCTAAGCCGAACACCGGCGTTGTTTGTAGACACCTCCAAGGTTATGTGGCTGGCATGACTGCATGGAACGCTGTTACCTTCCCACCAGAATGGTACCTATTGGTCTACTCACATTTACATGTTTTCGAACTGCTAGGTTGGCAGAAGCTGGGGCTGACAATGGAAGCTCATGCCGCTCCCCACATTCGAACCTGCGATCTTTTAGTCAACAAGCTCATCAGCTCAGCTGGCATTGTCCGTAGACGCCTCCAAGGTCATGTGGCCAGCATGACTGCATGGAGCACAGTTTACTTCCTGCCAGAGCGATATCTATTGATCTACTCACATTAGCATGTTTTCAAACTGCTAGGTTGGCAGAAGCTGGGGCTAACAGCAGGAGCTCATGCCACTCCCTTTTTTCGAACCTGCAACCTTTCAATCAGTAAGTTCAGCAGCTCAGAGATTTAACCCACTGCGCCACCAGGGGCTCCTTTTGGTGTTTGTACTTACATTATTAGTAGCTGTATAGAATTCATGGTTGTTGTTATCAATTATTCTTTATTGGATTGGAGTTAAGTTTTTTAAAAAAGAGACTCTGCAGAAGAGGGCTCAGTTAAAAAGTAAAACCTGCCTGTTCAGCAAACCTTGCAAATGCTGATTTATTATCAGAAAATGTTTGATTTCTAAACCTATTTTATATACCTACTAGATACCGGCGATCACATAAAAATGTAAGAAGCCTTTTGCTCAATCCCACCTCATCCATTTCCTTCGACTGCTTCTTCGGCTGCTTCAGGGGCTTCTTTTTTCCACCTGTGGAAACAGAAGAAAGGTTAATCAATTAGGTGGGAAACATAATAACATACTAGTATAGACATGGGCCAACTTGTTTTGGACTTCACTCCTTCAGTTCCTAACAGCCTCGGGCCCTTTCTTTTTCCCCTCAGCTGCTTACGGAAAGGGCCTGAGGCTGTTAGGAATTGTGGAAACCAAAGTCCAAAACACATGGAGGAGCCAAGTTTACCCATGCCTGTACTAGATGAAGAAGCCTTAACTGTCCTGTAGTATGAATTGGCCATGGTGGTCCATGCTCTTGTTACATCCCGAATAGATTACTGCAATGCGCTCTACATGGGGCTGCCTTTGAAGACTGTTCAGAAGCTTCAAATGGTCCAATGGGCGGCAGCCAGGTTACTAACAGGAGCGGCATTCAGGGAACACACTACTCCTCTGTTGTGTCAGCTCCACTGGCTGCCAATTTGCTACTGAGCACAATTCAAAGTGCTGGCTTTAGCCTATAAAGCCCTAAACATTTCCGACCCAGGTTACCTGTCCGAACATATCTCCTCCTATGAGCCATCTAAGAGCTTAAGTTCGTCTGGGGAAACCCTGCTCTCAATCTCACCTTCCTCGCAAGTGCAATTGGCAGAGACAAAGGACAGGGCCTTCTCAGTGGTGGCCCCTCCCCTGGCTATGGGACTCCCTTCCCAGAGATATTAGATCGCCCCCCTCCCTCCTGACTTCCCAAAAAAAGTAACAACCTGGCTCTTTGAGCAAGGTTTTGAGAATGCAGTGGAAGAGATAACACGGAACTATAAATTATGAACATGGAATGGCCAGACGATGTTGCTGGATAACATTTTTTTAAAAGTTTTTATTTGAGAAGAGAAAATACAGTTATATAGACATATACTATACATTTCCCTCTCTTTTATTTACATTCACTCCTGTGCTCCCCTTCTCCAGAGCCATCTCTTTTCCTAAAGTCCCACCCAAAAATCAGTTCTTCATGGGAGGTAAATTCCCATCTTCTTTTTCCAATAATTTTTCTAGAAATCTTCTCCAGATACTTTCAAAGTCATTTTTTTTTTTACATAATCCCTTCTTTACTTTTAAGTTTGAGTTTAGCTTATTGTTCAATGCCATTTTCCAGATTTCTTTATACAATTCATTAATCTGTATTTTCATTGCCCCTTTCCAATATTTTGCAATTAATAGTGTAGCTGCTGTTAATAGCATGTCTATTAATTTTTCCCCTCTTATCTTTCTCATTCTCTTTTTGAATTAAAAGTAATATTCCTCCTGGATTCCTCCTAATTTTTATATCCATAATATTTTCTATTTCTGTTATAACCAATTCCCAAAAATCTTTTACATATTTGCAGTCCCACCACATATGCATGTAGGTTCCAACTTCTTGGCATCCTTGCCAACATTTTTCATTATTATTCTTATTTATAATGTATTGTCGAAGGCTTTCATGGCCAGAATCACTGGGTTGTTGTAGGTTTTTTCGGGCTGTATGGCCATGGCCTAGAGGCATTCTCTCCTGACGTTTCGCCTGCACTTTGGCAAGCATCCTCAGAGGTAGTGAGGATGTACTGAGGTAGTGAGGATGTACCGAGGATGCTTGCCAAAGTGCAGGCGAAATGTCAGGAGAGAATGCCTCTAGACCAGGGGTCCTCAGACTAAGGCCTGGGGGCCGGATGCGGCCCTCCAAGGTCATTTACCCGGCCCTTGCTCAGGGTCAACCTAAGTCTGAAATGACTTAAAAGCACACAAAAACAAAAACAATCCTATCTCACACTTCCCACTGAAATACTAATAAGTTTATATTTGTTAAAATTGTTCTTCATTTTAATTATTGTATTGTTTTTAAGTGTTTTTCCCCACTACAGATAAGATATGTGCAGTGTGCATAGGAATTCATTCATGTTTTTTTCAAATTATAATCCGGCCCTCCAACAATTTGAGGGACTGTGACCTGGCCCTCTCTTTAAAAAGTTTGAGGACCCCTGCTCTAGACCATGGCCACACAGCCCAAAAAACCTACAACAACCCACTTATTTATAATGTTTAACCTTCTCTGGATAACATTTTTAACAGGATTACACCAATGATTATATGTTTTAACGGTTTTTATATATGTTTTATATTGTAATGTGGCTTGTTTTTAATGGCACTTTTATGAATGCCTAGCATCGAATTGTGCCAATCTGTAACCCGCCTTGAGTCTAAAATTGCAACAGCACAACAACAGAGAGGAAACAAACAAGGACATCTAATCACCTCTCAACAAATGTTTGCTCCAGGCACTGTCAGGCCATTATATGCTAATCAAGGTGTCAGTTGAAACATTCACACCTAGCTCCAGCAGACAAGAGTCCTTTGTCTCACCCTGGTCATTCCACAGATATATAAAGCCCTTTTCCTAGTTCCAACAGACCTCACTACCTCTGAGGATGCTTGCCATAGATGCAGGCGAAACGTCAGGAGAGAATGTCTCTAGACCAATGGTTCTCAACCTTCCTAATGCCGTGACCCCTTAATACAGTCCCTCATGTTGTGGTGACCCCCAACCATAACATTGTTTTCGTTGCTACTTCATAACAGTCATTTTACTACTGTTATAAATCATAATGTAAATATTAGATATGCAAGATGTATTTTCATTCACTGGACCAAACTGGGCACAAATACCCAATGCACCCACATGTAAACGTTAGTGGGGTTGGGGGAGGATTGATTTTGTCATTTGGGAGTTGTAGTTGCTGGGATTTATAGTTCACCTATAATCAAAGAGCATTCTGAACTCCACCAGCAATGGATTTGAACCTAATTTGCCACACAGAACTCCCATGACCAACGGAAAACACTGGAAGGGTTTGGTGGGTATTGACCTTGAGTTTGGGAGTTGTAGTTCACCTATATCCAGAGAGCACTGTGGACTCACGCAATGGTGGATCTGGACCAAACTTGGCACAAATACTCAATATGCGCAAATGTGAACACTGGTGGAGCCTGGGGAAAACAGACCTTGACTTTTGGGAGTTGTAGTTGCTGGGATTTATAGTTCATTACAATCAAAGAACATTCTGAACTCCACCAACGATAGAATTGGCTCAAACTTCCCACATGGAATCCCCATGACCATCAGAAAATACTGTGTTTCTGATGGTCTTTGGTGACCCCTCTGACACCCCTTCGCGACCCTCTCAGGGGTCCCGACCCCCAGGTTGCGAAACACTGCTCTAGACCACGGCCATATAGCCCGAAAAAAAACCTACAACAACCCAGCAGTCGCCATATGGCTGAGAAAGGCAGGCTATAAATATATGATCAGTGGTAAAGATGAGGTATATAGGCCAAGGCCTTGTAGTGAAGTCTCCTTCTCTGGAGGTTTTCAAGCAGAAGCTGGATGGCCATCTGTCGGGGCTGCTTTGATTGTGCGCTCCTGCATGGCAGAATGGGCCTTGGGCCTCCTCCAACTCTAGGATTCCCCCTTGACGCCAATGCTCTTGACTGAGGCCTCAATCAAGAGCCTCCCCTTCGCCCCTCCATCTTTACCTTCTCGGCCTGACATGGCGCTCCCACTCTCAGCAGCCTTTCAACCGCGAATGAAGCTTCCCTGACCCCAGACAGGAAGAGGAAGCACTACGCAGCCGCTCCAAACACACACAGGCCTTTGAATGAAAGGTCAACGTCACTTCCGGCCGTGCTTGAACCATAGAAAGCGCCATCCTATAGGCACCTCTGAGAAAAGACTAAACTCCGCCTTTGGTACGCCTTCATCCACTTTGGACTTCATTTCCCAGAATTCCCGGCCGTTGACCAAGGCAGCGGAGGCTTCTGGGAATTGAAGTCCAAGAAAACACCATCTTGGATGACTAGTTAATGTTGAGGGAAATGCGCATGCGCTGTAAACGCTTCCTTTCCTCAATGGCTGAGCTCTCCTAAATCTTCAAAATGATTGACCAAGGCAGCTGAGGCTTCTGGGGGTTGAACTCCAAAAACCTTGAGAGGGGAACCCGAAAGGATGAGTTTTATTCACGGAAGGAAATGGGGAGACAATATAGAAACTGCAGTGTTTTTCAAGCATTACTCTACATTTTCCTATCTCTATGGGCACGAGGGTCTTCTGTGTTAAGGATCCATACGGCGCTTCCGCCCGGACTTGGAGACGACTTCCGCCCTAGCTTTGGAAAGCACGTGACCCAGACCAGAAGCAAGAGTTCTATACTTTGCTGGAAGAGAGTGAGTTGCAAGGGATTGATGCTGTTTTCTGGTGGAAGGGAGGGAAGGCAAGTTGGGAGAAGAAGGAGAGCAATGGAAGGAGGCGAATGGCAACATTCCTCACCCTAAAAAGTGCATCTACATTACTGAATCAGCTCAGTTTGACACCACTTGAGCTACCATGACTCATGGCTATGGATGCATGGGGAGTGTCTCACCAAAATGACAATAGCCAGCCATAACACGGAGCCATGGCAGTGGTGTCAAATTGAATTAATTCACAGTGTGGATGCACCCCAAGGCTCAGTCCAATGATTATTTGGGCATTATTTGTGCTAATAATTATAATCTATTCTATGTACATATAATATTGATAATAATATTATAATGTAATGCAATATAATACTAATAGTACTCCTGGTCAGTCGCAAGGCCGAACAGGGCATAGGGTTACAGCCTGTGTTGGATGGGGCCGCACTCCCCCTGAAGACGCAGGTTCGCAGCTTGGGTGTGACCCTGGACTCATCGCTGAGCCTGGAACCCCAGGTTTCGGCGGTGACCAGGGGAACATTTGCACAGCTAAAGCTTGTGCGCCAGCTGCGCCCGTACCTTGGGAAGTCTGACTTGGCCACGGTAGTCCACGCTCTGGTTACATCCCGTTTAGACTACTGCAACGCTCTCTACGTGGGGTTGCCTTTGAAGACAGCTCGGAAGCTCCAACTAGTCCAACGCTCGGCAGCCATGATTTTAACAGGAGCGGAGCGCAGGGAGCATACAACCCCCCTGTTGCGCCAACTCCTCTGCTACCGGGCTGAATTCAAAGTGCTGGCGTTGGCCTTTAAAGCCCTAAACGGTTCCGGCCCAAGCTACCTATCCGACCGCATCTCTGCCTATGAACCCACCAGGACTTTGAGATCTTCCGGGGAGACCCTGCTCTCGATCCCGCCTGCTTCTCAAGCTCGGCTGGCGTGGACGAGAGATAGGGCCTTCTCGGTGGTGGCTCCTCGGCTGTGGAACGCCCTTCCTACGGACATTAGACTAGCACCATCTCTAATGGTATTCCGCAAAAAGTGAAGACCTGGCTGTTTGAGCAGGCATTCGAATAATTAGTGCAATGATTGGTTAATGAACACTGGAATGGAACAATGGATGACGAATCTGGAACATGTTTTTGATGATGAGACGATAGTGAATGGGTATTGTAGTAACTGTTTATTAATTGTGTAATGTGTTAGGTTGTTAACTGTTTTTATACTGTAGCACTGAATTTTTGCTGTTCGTATTTGTTGTGAACCGCTGTGAGTCGCCTTCGGGCTGAGAACAGTGGTATATAAGTAAGGTAAATAAATAAATAATATAATATAATATAATAATTATTATATATATATATAACATCTAATATTATCCTTGTTGCAACTCAGGGTAGTTTTCACCTTGCTCAAGACACGAGCTCACACCAAGACTGTAGGTTTGTAGTTTATTGAGAAAAAGCAAAATCAAAACAGAGAAGTAAAGATGCTAAAGTTCAATAGGAAAAACAGAGTCTTAAATGCAAAGGCAAGGTTCCCAAGATCCACAGGCAAATAACATGAAGCATAATCCCTTAGCAATGGTCAAACAAGAGTCCATGGCAAATAGGTAAAATCAGGATCAGAATCCCAGTCTCCAAGAAGCCAGAAGCCAAGGCAATTCCACAGAAGTTAACAGGTAAGAAGCAACATTGGACTGACAAGAATGCCTGTCACCTACATCATTAAATAAGCTTCCCTGGCATGAAAGCATTGCGTTGACCTTTGGCTTCCCTCTTGCTAGCAAGGCGTGTGATTCTGCGATCCCTTAATGGCAAATGGTCCTGTCTGCTCATTAATTCACCATTATCTTCAAGGCTATACAACTCCTTATCTCTGCCCAGCTAGGCTGGAACTGAAAGGAGTCTCAACCTGCGCTTGTGGGATTTCACTGTCTCTATCTAAAGGCCCAGGCCCAGACAGTTCAGTTTCAAACTCAGAATCACACTGAGCCACAACACTCCTAACTGCACCGGGACTGTGGTGCAGCTGGCTGGGAGTCAGATGCATTGGATCACTACTGACCAAAAGGTCATGAGTTCAAAGCCAGCCCGGGTCGGAGTGAGCTTCCGACCATTGTGTAGCTCACTGCAGCCCGAAAGACAGTTGCATCTGTCAAGTAGGAAATTATAGATACCACTTATTCGGGAAGGCTAATTTAACTAATTTACAATGCCATAAAAATCTCCAGCAAGCATGCAAAGAATGAGGAAGTACTCCATTAGTGTCACTAATAGATTGTGAAGCAACAGCTCCCCCGGTGGCCAGAATACCCTCATGAAGCTGGAATGTTAAATGGCTTCTGTATGTCTGTCTGTATATGTTATGTGTCTATGGCATTGAATACCATGTATATGTACATTGTAATCCACCCTGAGTTCCCTGCGGGGTGAGAAGATGGAACATAAATACTGTAAATTAATAAATAATAAATTATAATATTGCAGTATAGTGGTATAGTACAATATAGTAATATATAATAGTAATATTGTTCTGTGCTAATAATTATAATATATTGTATGTACATATAATATTGATCATAATATTGTAATACAATATAATACTAATAAGACAATATAATAATATAATAAGTATATATTTTATATTACATGTAATATTACTAATAATATTGTAGTACTGTACAGTATAGTAATATAATAATAACAATAACAATAATAATAATAAAAACTTTATTTATACCCCGCCACCATCTCCCCAAGGGGCGGCTTACATGAGGCCAAGCCCAACAACACATCAGTAAAACAACAAAGCAATAAGCAAATAAAACAATACACTTCATATAACTCACATATGGGCAATAACACACAAACATTTTAAAAAAATTAAAAAACAATGGCTGCGCCAGATGTAATACTTTAAAATTTATAATATGAATATTGTGCTATGCTTTCTCCTCTCTGATCCATTCAAAACATAATGTGTGTCTGTGCAATCTCAAACACTTGATTTGGATCCAAAAAATGACAAATTGAAATTGATTTTAAGGTTAGATACAGGTATGGGCAAAATTGTGGGAGCTGAAGTCCAAAACACCTGGAGGGCCCAAGTTTTCCCCTACTTGGGTTAGTGGCCTCTTAAACACACTAATATTGTTGTCCTTGTGTCCTCACAGGTCTCTTCCACAATGTCTGGAGGCTACTTCTAGGCTCTGTAAAGTGCATGGTTTTCTTTCCAGTCTGTGGCCTACAACATGCAGCGTCACAATTTGCAGATCCTGAGGGGACACAAAATGCACCCACTCGCAGTGAGGACATACTGTTCTCCAACCCCCAAGAGGCCTGAGGGCACCCCTGCTGTGGAAGTGGCCACTAGTTTTCTTCGCCGCTTGTCAGAAACCGGGAAGGTTTTGGGGAGAAGCTCGCTTCAGAAAATCTCCGCAGTCAGCAAAAGTTGGTGGGACAAATACGAAGAATTTGTTGGACTCAATGAAGTCCGAGAGGCCCAAGGGAACGTGACTGAGGTAAGGAAGCTGTGGATAAAGCATACCCGAAAAATACACTGGCTCTTATATTAAGAGTGGCAGTGTAGATTCTCTTTTACCTGGCAAAGCCTCTGAAATACAGGCAGTCCCCAAGTTACAAACATCCGACTTACAAATGACTCATAGTTATGAACGGAGGTGAGACAACAGGAAGTGAGAGAAATCTACACCTGTTGCAAGGTTAAGGATTGGGTGTTGGTAGGTAAAGTGGTCCTCTATAATGTCAGAGAGAAAGAAAAATAATGTGTAGTAGAGGAAGGAAAAGAGCCATAAAGAGAGCCATGTTGCTATGGTGACTTTGTGAGGCAGGCCCTACCAGAGCTGGAGATGGGAGAAATAATAATAACACTTTATTTATACTCCGTCCTATCTCCCCAAGGGGACTCAGGGCAGATCACAGTGTACATACACGGCGAACATTCAGTGCTGTTTTGGATAGACAGGACAGGGGCAGACAGAACAGAAAGGAGGTATGTTGTGCTGACATCCAACTTTTTTGGCGCCTTTGGAGGTTGTGCTCAAATCCAGCCACAGGGGGATGCTGTCGCTCCATCCTTTATGAAAAAGAGCCATCAGGACTTCCTCCTTCGTTTTCATTTTCTGATCTTTTTTTCTTTATGGTGTCGTAAAATACTCCCCCGCTTGTTTTAGCGGTACCTAATTTCTTTACATACAGCTCAAGATATTTTCAAACTGCTTAGGTAAACGGTAAGCTGGGCTGACAGTTGGGAGCTCACACCAACCCAGGGCTTCGAACTGGCAAACTTTCAGTTGATAGATCTTATCATTGCTGGTGATTTACCAGCTGTACTAAATCCCGGTCCTCTTTAGGGGAGGGGGAGGATAGAAAAGGAAGAAAGAGAAAAAAAAGGAAAAGAAAGGAAAAGAGAGGGAAGAAGGAGGAAGGGAAGGAAGAGAAAAGATAAAGAAAGAAAGAAGGCATGAAAGCAGGGGGCAGTAGCCTCTCCAACACCTGGGCAACGCTGGGCATGTAAACTAGTAGGTACATAAAATAGGTTTACAATTCAAACATTTACTGATTTAAAAAATCACAAGTTTTTTTTTAAATGGTATACATATAATTTTAACATTCTTTGGAAGTTTTTAAACAGAGTCTGGATGGCCATCTGTCAGGGATACTTTGTGCTTTTCTTAAATCGCAGGGGCCTGGACTAGATGGCCCATGTGGTCTCCTCCAACTCGTAAGATTCTATGATCTGTATTAAGGGCCAGGCTGGTAACACAGCTGGTTAATCGCTAGCAGCAATAAATCGCTGCCGACTGAAAGGTGGCAAGTTCGAAGCCCGAGTTGGGATTGAGCTTCTGACGGTTAAATAGCCCAGCTTACTGTTCACCTAAGCAGTTCAAAAACAGCTGTGCTGTGAGTAGAGAAATTAGGGACCGTTTAAAATGAGAGGTTAATTTATGACAACATAATAATGCCGGAGAGCAAGGAGGAAATACTATGATCAAAAGGCTTGGCGTCATAGTGGATGAAGCGACAGCTCCCACTGTGGCCGGAATCGAGCAACCTCCAGGATCCGAAGTGGAAGTGGAAAAACTGCTGAATTACCTCTATCTGTCTATATGTCTTGTATGTCAAATACAGCATTGAATGTTTTTCATGTATGTGTGCCTTATAATCCTCCCTGAGTCCCCTTCGGGGTGAGAAGGGCGGAATATAAATACTGTAAATAAATAAATAAATAACATTTATTTAAGATGAAATATAGTTTTCATGCTAATGAGATGAGTTTTGTGTATTTTTGCACAAAGAATTAAATCTTAGCGGGGTATTTGATACTGCATCATTTTCAACATTTTTCATGCCATGCTGCCATTGATTGATTTGCAGCTTCCAGCGGTAGGATATGCTCTGTGGCTTCTCCTTTTTCTCTCCTGAATTGGAGCACCATAATCAAATATTTGGGGGGTCTTTAGCTCCAATTTAAAAGATCCCAGGTTGCAGAGTGGGGCCAAGTACCTGAAATGGACACACATCCACCACCCTTTTGTTTTCATCATGATTTGTTTACATAAGTGCATGTAGTCTGTATCCATTAACCCCCCCCCCCCCCAATCAATTAAACAAATGGGTGGTATTAATCCTTCTCTTCCTGCACAGTTTGTAGGCAAATTGTTTTGAACTTCTAATAGCAGATGACTGACATGTTTTTATTTCAATTGAATGTTGTTCATAATCTCAACTTAGGTTTTTAGAATGAGAATTTGAAGGGAAATCTTCCTGAAACTGAATAGAGAATCACCAAGCAAAGTCAGGATTTTCAAGGTTTGCTGAACAAGGCAAGCTGATTCTCCTTTTTCATGAAGTACAGCTGAAATATTTGCTGCACTCCAGTTAAATGTCTAAAACAGCCATGAGGTGGCAGGCTACACAAATTTCCCCCCATCAGTTAAAGAACCCCAAATGGAGTTGTGACTCACAGTATACCAACCCTTCATATATTGCTGGACAGCAACCGGTTTAATTCCTCATTAATGGCTATGTTGGCTGGAGCTGATGGGAGTTGTAGTCCAACCAACCAAAAACAGTCAGCTTCTCTGTCTCTTCAATGAACGTCTTTTATATTATAAAGTAGATTTGTCACACTTAAAGTCTGATCTGGCCTTCCATGTCATGTTTTGTATCCCTCCAGATGCTGGACTACAACCCCTGTATTCCTCATTGTTAGATATCATGACTAGAGCTGATGGAATTTGGGATATAGTAGCATCTGGAAGGCTGCAATTTGTTTTGTTTAGTCAGGAAAGTGGGGTTTGAATTTAGATACAAGACTTGTGTACAGGATTTCTGGCTTTAAAATGTCCTTTAACCTTTGCCCAATTTCAAAGTTTTTGGGTTTTTTTGCCAATCTCAAAGCAATGCTTTTGATACGAAATCTCTATAAATAAAAATGTAATGCTTGTTTGTGGGATTAACATAACTCAAAAACCACTGGGCGAAATGACACCAAATTTGGACACAATACACCTATCAGGCCAATAAGTGACCATCACACATAAAAACATTGCAAAACACAGCAGAAGAGACTTAAAAAGCCAAAAACCAAAAATTACATTACAACGCATGCACAAAACCACAACTAAACACATATACACGAATATATATACACACAAAGCACATATACACAGACTGGACCACAGCAACATGTGGCAGGGCACAGCTAGTAAAAAATAAATCTCAAAGTTACAATGGCTGTTGTGTTACAGTTCCCATTATTCCCAGTCTGCATGGCAGACAATCAAAAGTGATGAGAGTTGACCCTCAATAACATCTGGGGACCCTATAATATAATACAATAATAAACCTTTATTTATACCCCGCTACCATCTCCCGGAGGGTGAAAACTAATGGCTACCGACCATAATGTGAAAAAATTGTAGTTGTCCCGTGTAACCACAGATTCTCTGTCCATGGATTCAAACGCCCTGTGAAGGCAACCCTAAGGCTGATGTGGCTTTCGATAAAAAAATAATTTGATATCCTTGTTATAAACTGTTTCTTGAAGGTTTTCGTTAAATATACTGATTCTAATGTAAATGTTTCTTCTTGTTCATACCTTCTCATTATTTTTTCCAACCAATGCTTCTCTTGGGATTGTTTTGGAAGGTCTTAAGTGCTGTTTTTATTTCATTTAATGGTGTATTTGCCACCCTGTCCTTTCCAAGGTGGGAAAGACCTGAGAAAAATGTAAACATGTGCACTCTAAAAACTACTCTGCCCGCCCCAATCCCTCTATTTTAGGCTTAGAGTGGGTAATAGATTTGTTAATACAAGCGCTCTAAGTGCAGCAGAATATACTGTCAGATACATAACTTGTAAACTGTTTTCATCCCAGGGTGAAAAAAGATTTATGGTGGCTCGTGGGATCGTGCGAGAAGCTCGTGAAACCTGGGAGGCCCAGCAGCTCAAACTGAAGGAAATCCGAGACCGTTTGGACCGGGTTTCGCGTGATGATTCTCAGTATCTGGAACTGGCAACTTTGGAGCACAGGTTACTGCAGGCAAGTGGAAAACAGGACTAATCCCTTTTTGAATTGAATGTCTTGTATGAATGATTCTTTTTATTCCGCCTTCCGGAACTGCCTCAAGGCACCTTATGATAAATTAAAAATAGTGAGCACTGAACAAAACAGCAATTTTTAAATTGTAAGGCTACCTTTTTTGGATGTTTTTAATCAGAGGCTGGATGAAAAACTACAGAGCACTGACCACTATGTTAAAATAATTACAGTTGGCCCTCTGTATCCACAAATTCTCTGTACCACAAGGCAACTGTAAGGCTGATGTGGCCCTCAATGAAAATGAGTTTGACACCCTATTTAAGATGTCTGCTTTCACAGGGATCTTGTATAAGCAGAGTTCCCTCCATTTCCCTCCATCAAGATTCCTGGAAAAAAATGTTGATGGATGTTGGAAGTGTGACTAGTCCCCTTTCCCTAGTAGCAAAAAGTTTTGGGTTTCAGAGTGTTTCAAACTTTGGGTTTCTAGATAAGATCGTCTTCACTTAAATCACTTCAAGGCATCTGAGATGGTGGCCATCATCTGAGCTGCAGAAAAGAAGTAATAATTCTACCTTTAGTGCTTTTTGGCACCATTTTATCTGACACAGATGTTAGGTTAATGAGCCTATAACAGCCTGGATCTTTTCTTAACAATGGGATTATGATGATTTATCATCCAGTCTAGTTTGGGGAAAATTACAGGCAAATTACAGATTTTTATGTGGTGACTGGCAATCCCATAACTTCAAGTTATCTAGTGCTCAGATCGAGGGATATTTTTAAGGCTTTGTGGCCCACTGCTTTGCCCATGATCACTTCAGTTAGATTCAATAATTCATGTGACTTAAAATTGTTTAAAGTTCCAGTTCTGACAGATATATCTTTTTGACATAGGCAAAAACCGATGCAAATATTATTATCTTCCTCTTTTTTTAATTTACACCCTATCTTTCTTCCAAAAATCGAGCTCAAGGTGGCTTTCAAAGTAAAATAGTTAAAAACATATAAAAAGTTGGTATTAAATTAAACTATTAAAAAGATCAAAATGGAAAAGATACACTTAAAAGGATAAAAAGCCTATAAAATAGTTTTAAAACCAGGAGAGCATAAAACAGTACGGTATGTTCTAAAAGTCCTTTACTTATAAATTTTCAATTTTCAAAGCTGGTTGGAATAAATAAATCCTTGCCTGCCAAAGGAAAGGCCCAGTTCAAACCTCCTTACAGGGGGAAGCTGAAAAGCCACAAAGAAGGACTTCTCTCCTTTCCCCACCAATCCTACCAGTACAGGTTCAGTATGACCTTTGTATCCACAAAACCAACCACTTCACTTACACATACCCAAAAATATGTCCTAGCTAGGCATTTTCTACATCCACCCTAAAGTCATATTGGAGGACCTAGAAATGCTAAAGAGGAGTTTTCTCTAATCTAGGCTTTTCTAAACCTTCCAACACAATATGGCATCTTTCTGCTACAAGTTGATGATAAAATCATGCTAGAAGACCATGAAAGTCTAAAGAACGCGTCTCTCTAATCATTTCCTCAGTCCTTCAGCATGTTTTGATGGTATCTTTCCACTGGAAGTGGTTCATTTCACATGGTTTGCTATTACACAATGTAACACGATTTTTGTTCCTAAATTGTAAATGTCATTTCCTAATTGGTTCTATCATACAAACATGGGGAAAGTTTATTAAATTGCAAAAAAAAAAAAGTTTTTGCAGAACATCCTGCAGCACATTTTGCTATAGTCTTTCTGTGAATATCTCAATAGAGTCAACCAATTCAATATAGTTTGTGGCAGTCACAAAAACAAAGTTTCTGGAGTATTAACAATACTTTGAAAGCAAGGGGATAATAGCGGAAGCTCATGCCGCTCCCCAGATTCGAATCTGCGACCTTTCGGTCAACAAGTTTAGCTGCTCAGCGGTTTAACCCACTGCGCCACTGGGGGCTCCAGATCGCCATAGTTTGATCGAAAAATATCACAAATTTTCCCAGTAACCCCCTCCTTTTCTTTTAGCAAAGTTTTTGTCATCTAATGGTTGCACTACCTCCCTGGTTGGTTTCCTACACATGATGTATTTTAAGAAGTTGTTATGTTTTATCTTAATATTTTTAGCATTGTGCTTCCCAAATTATCATTATTTTGCTTATTATTTTCTAGTTCCCATGCCTTGCCTTCTGCCAATTTGCCATTCCTCCAGAAGATTTTTTTTTCTTTTTAAAGGACTTTTTACCGGCTTGACATTCCTTTTATTCCCAAAGAATGTTTGTTTAATTTTGTCGATCCGGGAACAAGAGGAGGGGGAAAGCTAGAACAAAATCTTTTCATCCATTTATGCCCTGTGGCAGAGTGGAAGAATGCAATGCTGTTCTCTTTCTTCTTTTATGCACACATAATTCCAGGATGAGCTGCTCTTTGCATCATCGTTGATGACTGGCCAGGACTTGCTCTACAGGTTGAGTTACATAACAGTTTTTCACTATAAACTATAACACATACCATTGTAATTGTCAGGAAATCTAATCTCTCCTTCCAAAAGAGACTGGGTGATGGTATAGATTTTTTTATTTGATAGAAAAAAATCCACACATTTGAACTATGGGGCCAGGGAAGATTTCTGCAAATACCATGGTTTGCTAAAGAGACAAATAAATGGGTCCTAGGACAACTCAAGCCTGGACTCTCCCTAGAAGCCAAGTTGACTAAGTAGGGAATGTTGTACTTTGGCCCTAACATGAGAAGAGATCACTCACTAGAAGAGTGGATCTCAACCCTCCTAATTCCACAACTCCTTAATACAGTTCCTCATGTTGTGGTGACCCCCAACCATAAAATTATTTTCGTTGCTACTTCATGACTGTAATTTTGCTACAGTTATGAATCGTAATGTAAATATCTGATATGCAGGATGTATTTTCATTCACTGGACCAAACTTGGCACAAATATCCCATACACCCAATTATGTATACTGGTGGAGCTGGGGGGGATTGATTTTGTCATTTGGGAGTTGTCGTTCCTGGGATTTATAGTTCACCTACAATCAAAGAGCATTTTGAACTCCACCAAGGATGGAATTGAACCAAACTTGGCACACAGAATTCTCATAACCAAAAGAAAATACTGGAAGGGTCTGGTGGCCATAGACCTTGAGTTCTGGAGTTGTAGCTCACCTACATCCAGATAGCACTGTGGACTCAAACAATGATGGATATGGACCAAACTTGGCCCAAATACTAAATATGCCCAAATGTGAGCACTGATGGATTTTGTGGAAAATTGACCTTGACATTTGGGAGTTTTAGTTGCTTGGATTTACAGTTCATCTACAACCAAAGAGCATTCTGAACTGTGTTTTCTGATGGTCTTTGGTGACCCCGCTGACTCCCCCTTGTGGACCCCCCCTAGGGGTCCCAATCCCCAGGTTGAGAAACGCTGCACTAGAAAATGCTGGGTATAGGACAGCAGGAAAAGAGGAAGATCACATTCCAGATGAATAGACTTAATCAAGGAAGACTTGAGGACTCTCATTGATGGGATTTTGTTGTTTATTCGTTCAGTTGCTTCCGAGAGCTCTCTATTGTTGCCACCCCCAGCTCCTTCAGAGTCAAACCAGTCACTTCAAGGATGCCATCCATCCATCTTGCCCTTGGTCGGCCCCTCTTCCCTTTTCCTTCCATTTTCCCCAGCATCATTCTCTTCTCCCAAGTTTTCCTGTTTTCTCATTATGTGGCCAAAGTACTTCAACTTTGTCTCTAGTATCCTTCCTCCAATGAGCAGTCGGGCTTTATTTCCTGAAGTATGGTTGGATCTTCCTGCGGTCCAAGGCACTCTCAGAACTTTCCTCCAGCACCACAGCTCAAAAGCATCTCTCTTCCTTTGCTCAGCCTTCCTTATGGTCCTGCTCTCACATCCATAGGTGACTACGGGGAATACCATTGCTTTAACTATGCGGATCTTCGTTGCCAGTGTGAGGTCTCTACTCTTCACTATTTTACCGAGATTGGTCATTGCTCTCTTCCCAAGAGGTAAACGCCTTTTGATTTCCTGGCCGCAGTCTGTTTCTGCAGTAACACAAAGTCTAGAAATACAAAGTCTGTCACTACCTCCACGTTTTCTCCCTCTATTTGCCAGTTCTCAATCAGTCTGGTTGCCACAATCTTGGTTTTTGAAATGTTTAACTGCAGCCCAGCTTTTGCACTTCCTTCTTTCACCTTGGCTAGAACGTTCCTCAGCTCCTCCTTGTTTTCAGCCATCAAAGTGGCATCATCTGTATATCTAAGGTTGTTAATATTTCTTCCAGCAATTTTAACTCTAGCCTTGGATTCATCAAGCCCCACACATTGCATGATGTGTTCTGCATACAACTTAAGGATCCAGTCCAACCTCATTTTACAGTAAAGGAAGACACCATCAAAGGCCTCTCGACAGATGGCCATCCAGTTGGAGGACAGTCCCAAAGGCCATCCAGTCCAACCTCATTTTACAGTAAAGGAAGACACCATCAAAGCCCTCCCGACAGATTGTCAACCAGTTGGAAGGGAGTCCCAGAGGCCATCTAATCCAACCCCATTTGGCTGTAAAGCTGTCTGTCTGTCCCTTCATCCTTCCATCCATCAATCACTCCATCTACCACTCTGTCTGTCTGTCTGTCTGTCTGTCTGTCTGTCTATCTATCTATCTATCTAATCTATGTTCTATTCATCTACCTTCTGTTCCATCTATCAATGTCCCTTTCATCTGTCCCTTCTGTCTATTACTTCAACTGGAATTCCTCTGTTTTCTGAGGCCCACAGCAACGTGTGGCAGGGTACAGCTAGTAAATAAATATATAAAAAACTAGCTGTACCTGCCACGCATTACTGTGGCCAACCTATCTTATCTATCTGGAGAATTGCTGGGAGTTGAAGTCCAGGAATAGGAAATAGAAAATATGTGTGGATTGGGATGCCCTCAAAGAAATCCAAAGAGAAGCAAGCTTGCAGTTTGGAAGCAGTGCATTTGGAGCATCCTCCTCCCCTAAAGGGCCTGGTCTAGAGGATGCTGGGAACTGTCATTTTCACACATGCGCTGTAACGTCATTTAGCTTTTGGGGGGGGGGGGGGTTTAAGACCTTTCCACTATATTTTGCGAGGGGTTTATGAGTGATGATCACTCATTGGTCTGTTAGGGCTGTAGTGTCCAAATTCCATGTCAATTCGTCCAGTGGTTTTTGAGTTCCGTTAATCCCACAAACGAACATTACATTTTCATTTATATAGATAAATAATGCCCTCGTGGGTGGCAGGTTAACATATGAAGGCAGCAGGTCTCTTCTGTCACTATCATTGTTTTCTCTCTACTGTTGACATTCCTGGCCAGATCTCATCTTTGTTTCCCTTTGCCTCGCCCCCATGTGCTTCATGCTGGGTTAAAAAAAGAAGCTATGCTGTACTCCCTCGGGAGAGAAATGGCCATGAGAAAAGAAGGAGAAGCTGTGATCCTGATAGTCTAGTAGCTGATGTTTCTCCTTGGCAGGCAGATAGAGTTCCTCCCCAGCAGCAGCAGCACAGATGTGTTTGCACAGGCCTTCCACGTCTGTTCCAAAAGGGAGTGTACACAAGAACAGATCATTTCATACAGCCCAGAGAGCTGGTGAATGAAAGGCCTATTTTCATTTCAGAAAGCAAATGGTCTAAACACGGTATTGGTCTGAGGCGAACCTGGTATGCATTACATGATTATTATTGATGGACAAACTGGATCCTGGATTATGTCTCTTTCTCTTCCCGTTTTGTGACCAAGAAATAGGATTTCAAGTTTTGGGGCTATGACGGTGACTGTAATTCAAACATTTGGGGTGGCAAACAAAACCTTACCCTTTTCAAGGTTCTCTGAATAATGTATTGTCGAAGGCTTTCATGGCTGGAATCACTGGGTTGTTGTAGGTTTTTCGGGTTATGTGGCCATGTTCTAGAAGCAGTCTCTCCTGACGTTTCGCCTGCATCTATGGTTGTGACCTCTGAGGATGCTTGTCATAGATGCAGGCGAAACATCAGGAGAGAATGCTTCTAGAACATGGCCATATAGCCCGAAAAACCTACAACAACCCAGTCTCTAAATACAAATATTAAGCCCTTTTTCTTCCTTTTTCCTTCCCTAGTTTAATAAGGTTTTTTAAAACTTACCCATTCTACAAATCAGGTTAGATCTACAAGGCTACATTCCCTTGCTTTGTTGAGTTCAATGTGAATTTACATCTGAGCAAAGATGGGAAATGTTACTTTTTGGAATACAGCTTCCATGAAGGCTGGGGAATTCTGGAAATTGTCATCAAAAAGTAACTTCTTCAAAGTATTTGAAGAAGCTACTGGTACTCAGTAAGACACATACATAGATTCAAGTTTAAGCTCTGTGTCCTTTACGTTTTTTTTCTTTTTGAACTCACCATTACTATTGCCTTGAGGGCAGAGGCACTTTAATTTTCCAACTTTTCCCAACATTCATAGCCATCTGAAGCCAGGGAGCCGATTGGACAAATAATGATCACACTCTCCAAAATAAACAATGGAATCTGTAACCCATTAAACAGCATCAGATGTATAACTTTTGGCATTTATTGTCTTGTGTTTTCAGAAGGCTTTGTTCCATCCCACTGCCTAAGAAAAGAGTGCCAGTTCGACAAGGAACCAGAATCCCTATTCCTAATCCATCCCACATTCTTCTAAAATAGAGATGTTATGTTTAGCTCTTCAGAGATTTGGATGCTGCATTTCTATTTTAAAAAATCCCAAGAAGTAAAAATAAAACGTTTTGAAAACAGTTTACAACATATTCATGGCAAAAATTCAATGCCGGCATACATGTAGAAAGAAAAAAAAAACATAATAACCAAACACTAACATATAACTGAATACAAATATAAATTAATATTTGACGTAATCAAATATATTTTACATTCTATTCGCTTGGTGACCTAGCTGGTTAAACTGCTAAGCTGCTGACTAAAAGGTCAATGGTTTGAATCGGGGAGCAGGGTGAGCTTCCGCTGTTAGGCCCAGCTTCTGCCAATTTAGCAGTTCAAAAACATGCTAATGTGAGTAATAATAATAATAAATTAATAAATAAATAATAAACCCCGCCACCATCTCCCTGATGGGGACTCGGGGCGGCTTACATGAGGCCAAGCCCAACCAACAAATTACAGCAAAATAAAAACGAAAACGCAAACCAAAAATGCAGACAGTAAACAACAACATAATTACATAAAACATGTGAATGCATAATGATATAAAATTACAATAAACACAATCACAGTGACAATGAGTAGATCAATAGGTACCCCTTCAGTGGAAAGGTAACAGCACGGCATTTAGTCATGCTGGCCACATGACATAGGAGGTGTCTACGGACAACGCTGGCTCTTTGGCTTAGAAATGGAGATGAGCACCACTACCCCAGAGTCGAACTATGACTAAATTTCAAGGGAAACCATTACCTTTATTAGTCAAAGTGGTCTAATAATTCACATGGTGGTGATGTGCTACCAATGCTACCATTTTATTACAGTGCATTTGCTATTAATGATTAATATACATTTTGCCATTTTTGAAGCAAGTCAGAGAATAGACAAATAGAGAAGTTGGAGCCTAAGATTTGGCTTTCCACCTCTGCAGCCTTGCTTAAAATGTGAGGAACAGGGTATGTCACAATGCTTGCATTATCTTTCACTGGGGTGGCAATAAGCTCTCAATGTTTTTGTGCAACCTGTGAACTCTCTTTTGGCTTTTGACGCGCCGTTCTTTTAACAAAGACCTAAACGGTTTGGGACCCGCCTACCTGCATGACCGCATCTCCGTATACGAACCCACACGATCTCTCCAATCATCTGGAGAGGCCCTGCTCACGATCCCACCTGCGTCGCAAGCGCGTTTGGTGGGGATGAGGGACAGGGCCTTCTCTGTGGTGGCCCCCGACTCTGGAACTCTCTCACCAAGGACATCAGACAAGCCTCAACGTTGGCAGTCTTTAGGAAGAGCTTGAAGACGTGGCTGTTCCAGTGTGCCTTCCCAGAATAGGAAACTCCTAGCATCATGTCCCAAATGCACTTTATTAGAGATTTAAGATTGTCTGCACACCACACCTATCTCCAAAAACCTATCCATTTCACCTGTTATGTCCAGCATTTTTTTAAATTTTATTCATTACATTTGGTCCGGCCTCAGTTTTTAAATGCGCCGTGGTGTTATTGTCTAATGTTTATTGCTATTGTTTTAATGTTTATTGTTTTGCTTTATGAGTTTATTTATTGTTGTATTTGTTATGCTGTTGTTTTATTGATGTGTTGGGCCTTGGCCTCTTGTAAGCCACACCGAGTCCTTCGGGAGATGTTAGCGGGTTATAAATAAAGTTAATAATAATAATAAAGTCCTGTTGTGTTTGTTGCAGGAAGAGAAGAGGTACCGAACCAGCTACATTGCTGCGGAGGAGTCAGAGCGGGAAGCCTTCTCTCTCTTCTCTGCGGCTGTGCGAGAAAGCCACGAGAAAGAGCGAGCCAGAGCAGAGAAAACCAAGAACTGGTCCATTATTGGCTCAGTGCTGGGTGCCATTATTGGGGTGCTGGGCTCCACTTATGTCAACCGCGTTCGGTTGCAAGAGCTGAAAGCACTCGTTTTTGAAGCCCAAAAGGGACCCATAAACCTCCAGGAAGCCATCCGAGAACAGGCTTCCAGCTACAATTCCCAGCAGAGGGACCTAAGTGACCTCATTGCCAACCTGAAGAATGTCCTACAAGTCTTGAGTGTGACATCACAGGAAATGGAAGGCGCTTCCTTGGCCAAAAGCAGCGCACCACTAAAAATAGACCCTCTCTTAGTTTCCATCAAGGAGCAACTGAGCTACTCTAAACAAATAAGCTCATTCTTTGGGAGTTTGCAGCAGCAGCTTAGCAACCTGGAAAAAAGTGTAGGTCGAATTACCACCGAGGTACAGAACGTAAAGAGTGCACCTCAGCTCACTCCTGCAGGGAAAGGACTGCCTAGCCTTCCAAGAGAGGAGACCAGCCAAGCCTTTGCAGCAGAAGATGTGGTTCTCGAACTTTGCAACACGGAAAGGAGGCTGGGAGCACAAATGAAGCAGAGTGCCTTCTATAGCACAGCCTTCACTTGCACAGTGTTCGCTGTGACCCTCCCCGTGCTATACCTCCTGCTCAAAGGAAATTGATAGGCACAAAAATGATTTGTTAGGCTCAAGTAATAAAATGACATTCCCCAAATTACATTCTGATGTTTCCTTCTCATATTACTTTTTTAAAGGCAACTTTATGAATTGGCACCAAGTCTAGATGTGTGTACTCATGAAACACTCATTGACTCCAGAGCTATGTATGTATGCATTTATTTATTTACGACATTTATATGCCGCCCTTCTCACCCCAAAGTGGCTTACAAGATAGATATATATACATATATATTATATTATTAGCAGTATTATATATTACTATATTGTACTATATCATTATATTCTGATATTATTAGTAATATTACATGTAATATAAAATATATAATTATAATATATTATTAGTATTATATTGTATTACATCTATATAAATAAAAATAAAAATGTAATGTTCGTTTGTGGGATTAACATAACTCAAAAACCACTGGACAAATTGACATGAAATTTGGGCACAACACACCTAACAGTTCAACGAGTGTCCATCACCCATAAACACACACACACACACAAAACCCCAGCAGACCAGACTTAAAAACCCCCAAAATACACCATGTATACATATACACATACACTCATATACATATGCACATGTACACATTCATACGCACGCAGGTATATATATGCACAAACACATATACACACATACATATATACATATACACATACATACATACACACAAATATGCATATAGAGAAGCACACACATATACACAATATGCATGTACACATATAAACACAAATACACAAATCTATACACCCACATATATATGCACCCATACGCAAACACACATATATAAACAAATATACACACACATACCCACATATATACACACACAAAACACATATACACAGACTGGGCCACAGCAACACGTGACAGGGAATGGCTAGTTATATTAAAAATATATGTACATACAATATATTATATTATATTATTAGCATAGCATAGGAGACAAGATGGAGCTGTCCCCTGCCCCCCTCTCTCTTCACTCTGGCCCAGAGCAGCTGGCTAGGAGGGGTCCCCAACTATGTATGGAATTTGGAAATTAACCTTTTGCTGATTCCTAGGGGTTTTTCTTTTGAGAGAGTTTTGGTTTTATCTGTTTTTATACCACTAGTGCTCACATTGCTTTGGAACAGATCACTGGAAATTTATTTTATCTCCTTCATGTCCTCCGGTTCAGTAGTATTGACAGAAACACTTAGTAAACACTTACATTGCATACCTTTAAGGAACAAAAAAGAGATATTCAGCAATCCAATGTACCTAGGTAGGGAGATTAAAGTTTTTCCTGCTTCTTCTGTTGCAGATTGGAGGTGAACGTGGGATAGCTGAGATGCCCAAAGGGAGGGGGGCTTAAAGAATCGCCTAAAGGGTTTGCGAACTTTGTCCAGTTTTCTTTGTTGGAAATAACTATTTTTTTAGTACAGGCCATCAGTGTCCTTTACTTACACAGTTTTTGATTTCAGCAGCCTCTTCTTAGATGCCTCATCCATATAATACAACAAGAATAATACATTTGCACATATATCTTCACAACAACTCTAACTTAGGCTTATTGCCTCATGATGAATCAGTCTCCACTGTGGTTTGTTATTGTGTGCATTTAAGTCATTTCTCATGCCCGGCAACCCTATATTGGGGTTTTCTTGCCAAGATTTGCTTCCCTCTGGAGCTGAGAGAGTGATTTATCCATGAGTACTCAGTACGTTTCCATATCCTGAGTATGGATTTGGACTCCCAGAGTCCACTCAAACCACTATGTGTACTGGCTTTTGTGGACAGGCAGTCATAGAATCATAGAACTGGAAGAGAACTCGAGGGCCAAGAAGCTAGAAAATCGCATTCAAAGCAGTCAGCAGTCAATCTTAAACCTTTGGTCTAGATCAGTGGTTTCCAACCTTTTATTGAAGAGAGACCACTTGACGAGGGACCACTTGACTACTTTGACCAGGGACCACTCTCCAACATTAGTACCAAAAGGGTTACAAATCAGTTTTTGGTCAACTTTAGATTCAGTTTGGAGTGCTGATTCAGAAAATTGTATTGGATAGACCACATCAGCTCTAGTTTCTGATACAGAACATATGCCATGGTCAGCGACAGGGAAGAAGTAGCAGGCGGCACGAAAGGAGCAGAAATAAAATAAAGAGAAAGGAGGCTCATGTACCGGATTTTGTCCTCGCGGGCCACTAGTGGTCCTCGGCCCTCAGGTTAAGAATCACTGGTCTAGATTCTGTATACTTTCTTGCACTACCTCTCATGTTTTGAATTACACCTTTTGTTCTGCTTTTGATAATAATTGAGGGAATCAATTGGGGATTTTGCCCCCAAATGTGGCTTAAGTACTGGCTTTTGAAATTCCTGTAGGCATTATCCACCTACTTCCATATTTTTTTTTCTCAGCTGGGAAGTCTATATAAACTGTCTTTCCTTTGCTTTCTCCTTCATCTAGCAAACAGAAGGAATTGTTATTCTCAGGACGTTTTAATTCTGCATCCAAATTCTTGTTTATATGGTATCCATGGTGCTATACGAAATAGAAGAGGAAAATTCAGGAAACAATAGAGGAACGGGAGGGAAGGGAGGGCCAAAAAGTGGACAGAATCTTAGGCTGTGAGCTGTACTGGTTGAGGATGATAGGATTAGTAGTTCCCTATCATCTGGAGGCCTAGGTTTGGAAGCCACTTGTGCAAGGCATAGGGACTGCAGGGGTGTACAAAAGTGAGGTGCAAGGTGAAGGAAGGAAAAAGTGTCGTACAGGTATTCTGGGAAGTAGTGGCAAGCATTCAGAGCATTAACTTTGCCTCATGGTGGAGCCAGTTCTGCATGGAAGTCTCTCTGGCAGTTTCCACTCCAGTGTCCTGATCATCAGCACAGAGAGAGAGAGGGGGGAAAAAAGCAGCCATGATTCCCAATAGTTCCCATCTTTCTCCCTCCTTCTTCCCCCACACCCCAGAGGAGTTTGGATTTTTATACAGCTCTAGAGGTTTAACCCATTGTACCACTGAGGACTCTTCTATGAGGGGTGAGCGGCAGATCTAGGGACAACAGAGGGTCAAGAGACCTTAGATGCAAGGCTTGTGGATATCTGATTTTAAAATGTCCTATAACCTTTCCTCAACCTCAGAACATAAGGGCTGTGAGGTTGCAATTCCTTTATCCCCAGTATACCTGTGGATAATCAAAAGTGATTATTTTTGTGTGTGAGGAGTGACTTGAGAAACTGCAAGTCACTTCTGGTGTGAGAAAACTGGGCATCTGCAAGGACATTGTCCAGGGGAAGCCCGGATGTTTTGATGTTTTACCATTCTTGTGGGAGGCTTCTCTCATGTCCCCGCATGGAGAGCTGGAGCTGACAGAGGGAGCTCATCCATGTTCTCCCCAGAGTCAAACCTCCGACCTGTCGGTCTTCAGTCCTGTTGGCACAAGGGTTTAACCCATTGCGCCACCAGGGGCTCCATCAAAAGTGATGAGAATTGTCATTCCGTTTTTGGAGACCCAAATTAGGTAAAAATTAAGGCACACTGACCACTGTGTAAATATATATGTGCTGGTAATAAAGTTTTGTATTCTCTCTTTCTCTGTATGTGTGTGTATACACACACACACACTCACACACTCTCTCTATATATAGGGCCCCCTGTGGCGCAGTGGGTTAAAGCGCTGAGCTGCTGAGCTTGTTGACCAAAAAGTCAAAGGTTTGAATCTGGGGAGCGGTGTGAGCTTCCGCTGTGAGCCCCAGCTTCTGCCAACCTAGCAGTTCGAAAACATGCAAATGTGAGTAGATCAATAGGTACCTTCCAGTGGGAAGGTAATGGCACTCCATGCAGTCATACTGGCCTCATGACCTTGGAGGTGTCTACGGACAACGCCGGCTATTCAGCTTAGAAATGGAGATGAGCACCACACCCCAGAGTCGGGCATGACTCTGGGGTGTGGTCAGGGGAAAACTTACATACACATACACATATACATATACATTATATATATAGGCCCTCTGGGTCCAAAGATTCTCTGTCCATGGATTCGATGCCCCTTTGAAGGCAACCCTAAGGCTGATGTGGTCCTCGATTAAAATGAGTTAAACACCCCTGACTTACCCACTTTCATCATTCAACTGGAAATGGGAAAACAACAAAAAAACTTCAACTATCCCTTTCCTTTGAAATGGGGAAACAACAAAAACCTTCAGCCATACCCTTTCATCCTCAACCTTTGAAACATCTCTCCCACAGCGAAGCAAAGAGTGGTCAGTTTAAGGAAACCCCTTGGTCATAACCATGAAGGAACTCGCACTACAAAGAGCTCTATTTAGCAAACCAAGGCCACTGCTACAAAGCAGAGGAGCCCACAAATGTTGTTGAGGCTTGGCTTTATTAGCATGGCATACGCCAGTTTCCGAATGCTTCCTAGAAATAAATTTGACATCCGCTCACGGGCTCTGAATATTAATTGAACAGTGGTTTTCTTTCAAACTTAGCAACACTTTGGGCTTTGAGGAAACTGGAAACAATTGCCTGTAAAAACTTGTCCCGGAATTGTGGAGGTTTCTTTAGAAGCTCCTTTTGCAAATTGGGGCTGGAGGAAGCGGGGTTTTACTGAGCTGTTTCTTTGGGCTAGTAAGGTCATTACGGCCTTGTGACTGAGGCCACTATTAGCCAAGGTCAAAGAATGTCCTTCTTTTGCATTTCACTCCCCAAAAGCCAACTTTGTAGATAGAAACCCTCTTTCTGGTCTTCCAGCAAAACTTGGGGCATGAAAAAGGAATCCCTAGAGATTCTTGGAATACAGCTATAGTCTTGCCTCTTGTTGTTTTTCTCAGCAGCTTTGCACAAAAAAAAAAAAAGGACTATTGAACCAATTCAAGCGCTCTCTGGTTCCCAGGTACCCGTAATGAGGAAACTAATTTCCATGTTCAATTTGGGAGAGCAAGCTGGACGGGGGACTTTTTGTAGTTGCTGGAAAGCTGCCTGACCCCTGGAAAACTTTCAGCCACCTCCTCCTTGCCTTTTCGGATAGAAACCACTCTTTTGCTGCTA